AACTACCTATATGATATACATATGATATTAAGAAAAGGTAAGTTTTGGGTCTTCTTTTTCCTTGATGGCGTAGTCAGCGTTGACAACAGCGCGCCATTCTTTTCTTGTTTTAGTAATTTGGCGTCAATTGGAGACACCAAGTGTAGCCAGGTGCTTCTCCACCTCCTCCACAAAGGAGTAGAGGTCTTCCTCTTCCTTTGCTTCCCCCGGCGGGTACTGCGTCGMATACTTTCAGAGCGGGATTGTTTGCATCAGTCGATTCTTCAGTCGTTGTCATCGTACATGTCTCTGCACCATATAGCTAGCAGGACGGGAATAATGAGTGACTTATAGATTTTGGTGTTTGTTCGTCGAGAGAGGATTTTACTTCTTAATTGCCTACTCAGTCCGAACTAGCACCTTTTGGCAAGAGTTATTCTGCGTTGGATTTTCAGGCTGACATTGTTGGTGGTGTTGATATTGGTTCCAAGATAGACGAAATTGTCTACGACTTTAAGTTTATGACTCTCAACAGTGAAGCGAGATCCAAGTCGAACGTCTGTTTCATCGTCATCGATTGGAGAATCGGGTTCGCCTTCTCCTGGCGTTATGCTTTAACTGCAATACAGCAGGYTGGAGAAGTGTTCTCTCCATAATTCTCTTATGCCCTGGGCATTGCTTACTATATCACTTACCAGAGTATTCTCTGGTATTGAAACCTGCCTTTAGTCCCCGYATTTTTTCGTAGAATTTTCGAGCATTATACTTGAAATACTTAAATATAGGCCGATATATGCAGCACAAAGTCACCCGGAAGTTCAAAAATCTTTATATTAGGTATATGGAGACTCGGAGAAATATTGAACCGATTCAACCTATTTTTGAAACACAGTGATGCTATTTTCAGGAAAGAATTCTCTCTGAATCCCATACATTATCCGATATTTTCGGTCAAAAGTCAACTATGGATGCTAGGGTCCACATAATCGGTACCTAGAGTCTTAAACAGTTTTGGTTGGCATTGGACAATTCTTGGTCATAAGATGGCATACTTTAATAGTACTATTAGTACAAAGTTATACTAGAAAGTGAAGGAATTAAATGGAATTTGGAACTTGATATACATATGGGAAGTAGACGTGGTTAGTCCGATTTCGTCCATTTTCACACTGTGACATAGGAATGTAAGAAGAATGTCATGTACTAAATGTAATCGATAGATCGGGTCCCGAGAAATGTGATTTCGCCAAAAAGCGGGCAGTGCCACACTCATCGTCCAATTTTAACCGCARCCCCTTTAAAGCCTTCTCACACCATCTTGGAAGAAAAATTTAATGTAATGTGGTTATTACATATTAGTTATTGATTTATCGAACTTTTAGAAGTTTTCAACAGTACCGTTATATGGGARTCCGATTTCGTCCATTTTTACAGTGTCGATAGTGGTATTAAAGGGATTTGTCCAGAGGGATAAAGTTTTATGTATATCTTAATTTGGTGCTTAGTTATGGCACTTTATATTTTCGATTAATGGCGTTTTGTGGGCGTGGCAGGACAGACAATCAGTCACTCTTACTTCAACTCGTCTCGTTATCCTGATCATTTATATACATATGTATACAAGTATGTATATATTGAAAAAAAATTTCTTCCTAACT